GGTAATAGATTTTACTTACTTGTTGATCTAAATGTGGCACATGAACATTTTGGGCTCAATCATAACTATAATGAGCAATAGCATCAACACTACAATATTGTGTTTTATTCATTGAATAATGTTGATCAATTAGTTTTCTTTGTTCTGCTAATTTTGTATTTTTATTATAATAATTTCTTTCTACTTTGGCCTTGGACAGATGTTCTTTAAATCTTTTGAGTAAATCTTTAGCTTCTTCCTCTTGGCAAGTACTATAATGTAAACCATCTCTAAAATGTTGACAAGTATCACACAGATCAGTCCTGGGACTCATAATTTGAATCTCTGGTGTCAATTGATGTCATAATTTTCTGAAGGCATCATATTTTAAGGATTTCAAATTATTACCTTCTTCTAGACCAGCAAGAAAATCTCTATGTACTGATTTATAACTCATTTCAGCTGGTAAAAATATAACTGATTGAGTTATTCTATGATATTTCTTCCTGGACTTGGTAAGCCATGGACTTCTGCATAATTCTCTAGAAAATTCTTTACTACTTTAGCAATATTTTTATCAATTACCATTTTGGTTTTTCATTGAGGCATTCTTTTAATATTACCATGAATTCTTGGTAAAATACCATTGTTTATCAAATGATTTCTAAGATTCTCAAAATAAGTTCTGCCAATTCCTAACATATTGAGATAAGTTTCTTGACAAAGGAGTGTATTGTGATCCCAGTGGTAGAAAGTTCTTTTATTAGATCTGGTTTTTTTTTAAGGTGCCTACTATCCACCATCCATTGCCTTAAGTTGGGCCATTAAGAATATGTCTTGTTCTACTTTAGAAAGAGTTTGAAAGGATTCCCTTAATTCTGCAAATTCTTCCTAGGAATTCTCAAAGAGCAACTACATTTACAACCTCTTTCTAAAAAATCAATTGCTTTTGATATTCATTAGAACTATTATGATTACTATTACTTTTCATATACACTTATCCATATATATATAGTTTTTATCACTTTGTGGTGCATACAGGAGTGATTTTTTTCATATAAAATTCAATGTTAATTGCAAAAATTTTATTAGTGGTGATGCTTGACCCCCCTGAAGTTACATAATGTCCTCTGACTAATAATGTATATGCATATACTAAATTTATTAGGAAAAACCTGCAAGTTTTGTTATAGATAAGTTTAAATTTATTATTTATAAAATATCAATAATTGTCAACATAAAAGGTTAACAGATTTTTTAAAAATCACTTAGTAAGTGTGGATTGAATTTGGTTATCTTGTGCTTTGTTTCTACATTTTCTTTCACACCAATCATATCAAAAAATTCAACATGTATTTCAGTGTAATGAGGTAAATTAAGTATATAAAAAACACTTGTAAAATGAACAAACAGTATAATAGGCATTTTTATGAAATTTCAGTATAGAGGGTAAATTTATATGAAAAAAAATTTTTTTTCATCTTGATGGATTTCAGTATAGATATAATTTCAGTTTTATTGTAATCAAAATAAAAGATTAAAGTTCATTTAACAAGCAATATTTTATGCCAATTGACTAATAAAAAAATCTAAAATAGTTGCTTCAGTGAATCAATCAGCCCCTGATAATCTAATTCATAAGCCATTCTATGCATTCTCTTCCACAATTTTGATACAGAATGAGAACACCAAAAATCAGCAAGATTTCCTGCATAACCCTCATGATCAAAGGTAAAATGTTGATTTGATGAAGTCAATAAAAAGTTAAAGGCAAATAATATATTAGATTGTATAATGAAAAACCAAGCCTATGTATTAAAAACATTCAATAAAGAAATACTATATTAATTTTTTTATAAACATTTTATTTTTATCATTCCCTCCGATATTAATATTAATATTAATATTTTGTTTTTCAAATTTGCGTAACGATTTTCAAGCCAATAAAATTTAATTGTTGCGTGATATCTGGAAGGGAGATCGTCACAAAATTTAGCCAATGAAATCAAATGTCCACTATGCTATTCCATCATTCACCAGGATTTTCTTTCACTCTAGTATTGATTTAACTGTTCTTGTACTTTTTCTTCTATTCATTATAAAAAAAATTTTGATTATCATGTTACACTTATTCCCTTTTTTATCTTATCTGTGGTATTCTGCAGTACATTAATAGTATTTCCATTTTTAAACACATATTCTGTGATTTCTGTGCTATGCAGAAAATCATTGTCCCTGACCAGACAAAGCAAACATTGGTGTTACTAATGATTTCAGGGATCAATAATGTTTGTTTAACATCACAATTGTATTACCTGTGTATTTGTCTAGACAAAAATAGTTAATATGAAACTCATTTACATCAGATCTACTATGGAACCAAAAAATTACAGTGCCATTAGAAGTATTTTAAAAAAGGAACAAGGTGAAAAAATAGCTCCTTATGTTTTCAAAATAAATGATATTAATTTTTTATAACAGTTATTTCATTTGGAGATAAATAATTTATTTTTTTATTACCAATTTTGGATATTTTAATTTTGGCAGATGTTGAATATTCTCATTAGAACCCAAATGGCAGATATTTTTGGTGGGTAACTACACAATTATTATGAATTGATTCCCTTTTTAATGCTGAATTGAATGGTGGTGATTTTTTTAATCCAATATGTGGATGGATCACATAATATTTCAAATTTTGTGTATATAGTTTTTTATTCTGCCAGTTTTCTTTTTTTTCTTGATTCTTTACTAGAATTCTCTAATGCTCTTTTGAAAACTCTTTCCTCTTGATAAATTTCATAAGTAATCCTTTCTTTGTCTAAATATGTTTGCAAAGATTTG